GATTATGCTTTATTACAGGCTGACACTTAACTATATAATGTGACGGTCAATCCCACTATTCGTTGGTAAAAGAGTAGCCCAAGAGTTGGCGGTGGGTGGTGATGACTAACCGCCTTCCCTCTAGTCTTACACTGCTAAATTAGGGACGGCTAGCGCAGATAGCCCTCGTGTAGCTTTGCGCGAAATTCAAAACAAATAAAAATAAAAAATTTTTGTTTTGTTTTGTTGTTGTTGGTTTTCTGGTTCTGGAATTACCTACTTGTTAAAAACTTCTGTCGAGTTGATATATTCAAATAATAATTATGTGAAATAGGCCTAAGAAACAAGTTTATAGCTAAAACGCATAAAAGTTTTGAATTAATAACCTCTTCTCTGATTTTGTTGTTTGTTTATGTATTTTTGTCATGGTAATGTTCATAGAGTCACAGATTCAAGGGTGACATGCCCTTTATGACTGGGTAAAGGTCACACAGTTTCTTTATAAACTTTTTTGTGACCTCCAAAAACATTTGACTTAATTTTGAAAACCTATTTTCTTCTTTCAGCTTGGATCGGCTCTTTGTCATTGGCCTCTGGATTTTTCCTTTCACCAGTCATTGTGGCCCTCTGTCGGCGAAAAAGTACTCGATTGATAGCTGTATTTGGCGGGTTTATTTCAGCTCTTGGTTGCCTTTTCACGTCGTTCGCTTCACAGATTCATCAAATTTTTTTCAGTTATGGTATATTCATGGGATTTGGACTTGGAATAGCACGAGAAGCGTCCAACATTATGATTGGTCAATACTTCAAACGCAGGCGTGAGTTTGTAGAGCTCATTGTCCAATCAGGAACAGGATTGGGAATAACTATGATGTCTTTATTCCTACACGAAGTTTTAAGGCAAGTTATTATTTTTTTTCTACATTATTTTTCAGGAAATTACTCGGTGATTTAGTTGATTTACAAATTTTTAATTCAAAAGCTAGGCCCTTTTTTTTATATAGAAGACTTCCACCTCAGTTTCTGAAGTTAGGTTATCCTAAAAAATTACTTTCAACTTATTTTTTAAGGTAGACAATAATTAGGGCTCTGACCTGAGACTTAACTTAATCAGCCACAAACATCAAGGCAGAAGACAGGAAAATCTGGTCCACTCTTCCTGGACCTGGCGTGACTAAATAATAAGCGTGCCGGACTGAGGATCTGAGGGTCCAAGGTTCGCGTCTGGTTGCCACATAATCGCGCTCCATACTTTGGGGTCGTGAGTACGTTATAGAAGTGACGGTCAAATCCCACGATTCCAATATAGTAGCCCAAGAGGTGGCAGAAGATACTGTTGAGTAACTGTCCAGCTAAAAGTTATCCGGCTAACTTGATTGTAAACTGTATAATCTGACAAAGAGCGCTACCTCGAAACTTCATCCTTCTTTAAATAAAGATATATAAAAACTTGGAGATTGTTCAACCTATTATTTAATTTTGATATTTTCGTCGGTTTTTAACTATATTTACAAACAAACTTTTATAGTTTCGTGATAAAAATATAAAAACTGATTCACATTTTCTTACAACACCACAGATTGCTCGATTGGAGACTGGGACTCCAGGCTTTGACAGGAATAGTCTTTACAACGTTCTTTCTTGGTGTCTGTTATCGTCCTGCTTCTTTATACCATCCTCAACGCAGAGCAATTCTTCATCTTAAAAACCAGAAACGGAAGATCAAAGATAAAACGGCTCCACAAGAAAAGTCTCCCTTTCTGGACTTCTCACTCCTGCGAACCAGGACCTTACAGATTGTCATGTTGTCATCGAGTCTTTGTTCCTTAGGCATTTATACCCCATGTTTTTATATGGTGAGTATATAAAGAATATTTTACCCCATGTTTTTATATGGTGAGAAGATAAAGAATATTTTACCCCATGTTTTTATATGGTGAGAAGATAAAGAATATTTTACCCCATGTTTTTATATGGTGAGAAGATAAAGAATATTTTACCCCATGTTTTTATATGGTGAGCAGATAAAGAATATTTTATCCCATGTTTTTATATGGTGAGAAGATAAAGAATATTTTACCCCATGTTTTTTATATGGTGGGCAGATAAAGAATATTTTACCCCATGTTTTTTATATGGTGAGCAGATAAAGAATATTTTACCCCATGTTTTAATATGGTGAGAAGATAAAGAATATTTTACCCCATGTTTTTATATGGTGAGAAGATAAAGAATATTTTACTGAAAATATGTTTACACCACAGTTGCAAAAGCGGAAATAACCATAAATGATTTTTATTAAATATCTATCCACCCGAATCGTTAGCCGTAAAAGCTTTCGTTTTTGAAAATTGATCTCCTTTTAATTCACTAAGAATTGAAGAAGATGTTACTTTTTTGAAAATTGGTCTCTTTTTAGTTGACTAGTAAAAAGTAACCTCTTCTTCAAGAAAATTGGTCTCTTTTTAATTCACTAAGAGTTGAAGAAGAGGTTACTCTTTGAAAATTGGCCTCTTTTTAATTCACTAAGAGTTGAAGAAGATGTTACTTTTTGAAAATTGGCCTCTTTTTAATTCACCAGTAGTTGAAGAAGAGGTTATTCTTTGAAAATTGGCCTCTTTTTTGGTTTCTTGTGATACTTACACGAAAAAAATAGTTTTTATTAGAATAGAATAAGCTTATAAGTCACCAATTGTCATTTAAAAGATGTGTAAAAGTATTAGTGTGAATGCCGAGGTGTAAAAGTATTAGTGTGAATGTTGAGGTGTAAAAGTATTAGTGTGAATGTTGAGGTGTAAATGGCGATTTTTCGCTAAAAATAACAAACAATTTTGTCAGTTCCTCTTATATTATATTTGTATTTGTTTGGAACAAAATACGTTGATAATTTCTTTATTTTTGTTTGCCTTTAGGCCATCATAGCAGACGAAGAAGGCCTAGAAAATAGTTCCGTTTTAATTCTTCAAGCCCTTCTCGGGTTAGCCTTTGCCGTGGGCTGCCTCCTGTTTGGGTTAATGATAATAAAGAGTAGTCCACAGTGTATGATAGCCCGCCAATACCTCTGTCAAGCCGCCATGTTTGGAACTGCAGTCGCCATATTGTCACTTCGTGCGGTGAGCGGTTACCAAGGCTACATCTTGTTTGTGTGGATTTATGGAATATTCTGTGGCGGATTTCACTACTCGCTGAAGATGTATTTGTTTGAAAAAGTTCGACCAAGAAATTTTAGTCGCTCATGGGGATTCCTTCAGTGGTCCCAATTTCTTTCTGTTTTATGCGGTATTCCAATAACAGGTTAGTTTTTCTTTGTTCAACATAAAAGGGCATATTAAAAAAATAGATTAACCCAAGAACAGTGTTGATAGGCCTTTTGCCCAATACTAGGGCTCATCAGATCGGCTGGGATACGACAGTACATAGTGGTGGTCTAGAATCTAGGTGCCATGTATATATATATATTATCAAATTTCACGAATAACAACAAACTTAATTGTTTTAAATTACCAAGTTTTACTTGAGTTATTTACAAGTCGAAATATAATGGTTGATAGTGTGTGTGTGTTTTTGTAGTTTCCTACCGTATGGTTATTTTTGGCTATCTCTGTATTTAGTTGCAGTAACCCTATTTAATATCTTTAATAAAAAAGATTTTGTAATCTACTAAGAAAAAGTTTCAAACATCTTCATGAAATGATGCTATTGAAGTTGTGGCTAAACACAGAAAGCTGTCTTGATTGTAATAGCGTATAAATGTAACACGCACCTTTTTAAAGTAAAATTAGTAAAACTCCATCAGTGGTTAACCAACAGTACTATGAAATGTTGACTGGGTAATTTATGTCGATATTTTTTTTCTTCAAAATTAGTAAATATTTTAAACCAGCAAAGATGTCAAGATATAACAATAAAAAAATATTTAATTAATTTTTTAAAGCATAAAACAATTCTATATTTACACCAGAAGAGTCCCCTGGTGGGTCAGCGATAAATTAACTGACTTACAACCTTAAAATGTGAGGATAGAAACGCCCGAACCCATGGGTTCTTTGAGCACAGATAGCCTATTACGTAGCTTTGTCCTTAACTTCAAACAAACCATAAGACATGCAAAGTAAAAAAATAATCAAGATTTTCACAAAAACACCAACGCCTGTTTTGATCTAAAAATTACTATTTTTGATGAACAGCCAAAATTAATACAAAAGTACTAAGTCTCGCATGGGGACTTTGATGACGAAACGCTCAAAGCTTTGGTTCTTTAATTAAAATAAAAAACGTAATTCTTGTAAACACCCAAACCAAGTGATCTTTTGTCATATAAAAGAAAGGAATTTTTCAGGTAATTAAAATTCTAGCTATAACACAAATGCTTAAACTTCCGAGTTTTGATAATGATAAATATATATATATATATATTATATATTAAAATAGTTGTACTCTTCCTTCATACGAATGGAAACTTCAATGAAAACTTAATTCTCGACAGAAATGGAATTTATTTCACCTGAAAAAAAAGAAATGAAAAATTTTAAGTTGTCAAAAGTCTGACACAAACACCGAGCCCTTGCATTTTTGATGAAAAAATTTTATTTTTAAAAAATATGTAGTTCTCAAACTCTCCACCAGAGTTTATTTTTCCTGCGGAATAATTTGTTTTATTTGAATTTCGGCTGTCTGCGCTAATCGTCCGTAATTTTGAAATTATAGACTGTAGGAGAGGCAACTAGTTAATACCATCCACCGCCAACTCTTGGGCTATTCTTTACCAACGAATAGTTGGATAAGCCGTCACATTATAATGCCTCCACGGCTGAAAGGGCGATCCTGCAGAAGACCAAAAATAATTGAAGATCGTCACAAATTAGTTTTAATGGGAGAAATAAAAACGTAATTTTCAAAACGACCAAGCCGAGTGTATTTTTTCAAATCTCGAGGAAATAGAAAATTAAATATGATCAAACATTAGGCTTAAAGGCGTAAACTGAGTTTACCTTTTCTAGAGAAGAAAAATGAAAGATGAGCAAACATTAGGCTTAAAGGCTTAAACTGAGTTTACCTTTCCTAGAGAAGAAAAATGAAATATGAGCAAACATTAGGCTTAAAGGCTTAAACTGAGTTTACCTTTTCTAGAGAAGAAAAATGAAATATGAACAAACATTAGGCTTAAAGGCTTAAACTGAGTTTACCTTTTCTAGTGAAGAAAAATGAAATATGAGCAAACATTAGGCTTAAAGGCTTAAACTGAGTTTACCTTTCCTAGAGAAGAGAAGTAAAATTAAAGTTCAAAATTTTGACTGAAACTCACTTGGATTTTTGACGAAAACAACAAAAATTGAAGACAGTCGAAATTCTTATAAAAACACTAGATCTCTGAAGAAAAAATTGTTTTAATAGTTCAAACCGATTATATTATTTCTACAAAATAAAAACGAATATGGAAGGTGTTCAAGAAACCGATTAACATCTTTAACACAGCTTTAACACTTTTAATGAAAATACTGCTCATTAAACATTTTTACTGCCCTCCTTGTTAAAACTTGTTTATTAAACATTTGGTTTGTTTTCTTGTTTAAACTTGTTTATTAAACATTTTGTTTGTTTTCTTGTTTAAACTTGTTTATTAAATACCTTGTTTGTTTTCTTGTTTAAACTTGTTTATTAAATACCTTGTTTGTTTTCCTTGTTTAAACTTGATTTTTAAACATTTTGTTTGTTTTCTTGTTTAAACTTGTTTATTAAACATTTGGGTTGTTTTCTTGTTTAAACTTGTTTTTTAAACAATTTGTTTGTTTTCTTGTTTAAACTTGTTTTTTTAAACAATTTGTTTGTTTTCTTGTTTAAACTTGTTTATTAAATACCTTGTTTGTTTTCCTTGTTTATTAAACATTCGGTTTGTTTTCCTTGTTTAAACTTGTTTATTAAACACCTTGTTTGTTTTCCTGTTGAACAATGATGCTGTTTCCTCCTTTCTTTTCGTCAAGGATACATAAACCGAAGCCGTGGACCAAAGATGGGTGTTTTCTTTTCCTGTGGCTGTGTGGTTGTAGGAATGCTTGTCCTATTTCTGATGAACCTTCGAAAGACTTCAGATAAAAAATCTCAGAAAACCATTCTGATGGGGGACGATCAAAGTCAGTTTCATATAGACGCAACGATAGCGTTGAATGAAGAAGACATTTGTACATGTGGCAGGAATCTGGGTGGAGAGGAGTTACCACCCTTAGACAGATGTCAAAAAGCTATCTCTTTCGGCACTTCGTTAGACGGAGCGGATGAAGAGAGAAGGCCGGAACTACTTACGTGTATTTCAGAAGAAGGTTTAGTGGACATAGGGGATAATAATATACTAGAAGAATGGTGTATGGGGGAATGTATTACCTCGTGCAATAAGGAAGAAAAGTTCCTAATGATTAGTGAATTCGAAAATAATCTCCATGATCCAGTGATCCCTCCGTGTGATCATCGGATTCATAATTCACCCGCTAGAAGAAATAGTACGCACCCGGAACTATTTTACATGGCACAACGACGCCGCTGTGATCCTGTCAGCTTACATCTACCAAAGAGAAAAATATCTGTTATAGAGGAGATAACTAGTTCAGTTTAAATATATATATAAACTTTGGAAATTTCAATCTTTGTCGGTTTCTTACGGACAGTTGCATTTTCACAAAAGTCTTAAATCAAACCAATAACCGTAACCATAAAAATGTAAAAAAGTAAGATAATTATTTATTATTATTAAATAAAGAACATAAGAGTTTAAAATAAACTTTTGAAACAAAACTAAAAAATTTAAATTTATTTTGCAAAGTGGCAAAAAATAAAGTGGAATAACCTATGATTTGAACAATGAAATATTTTACAAAAC